GTGTGGTAGATATATGACTACATAAACTAAAGGTTTTTGTTAATGTATTTATAGTCTGTAATATTCAGTAAAGATAGAACGTTTATCAGATGCAACAAGTTTTCTGATTTATTCTTAATCCAGTAAGATAATTAAGAGAACCAAGAAATTCCTACCTTTATTCTTGCCTTTATGAATTTTTCTAGGAAAGTTTAATGAATAATGGACGAATTACATTTTTTTGTAACTTCTGTGTTTGTAGATTTCTATGAAACTATAGATTTTTATAAATATTCATAGTTAAATGAACGAAATAAACTCCAATGTAATTTATTTTAATAATTTTAATACTATCCATTATCTCTATAGAAAATGGTAAATAGAGGAAATTAAATACAACAGAACCAAATGAGAAACAGATGAAATGAAATTTGTAGATTTAACTGCAATGTTCATAAATCATATCCTAATGCTTCTTAAATCTTATAAATAGATTATTCAACAAAATTATTGAAATCTCATGAAGGTACATGGTACAAGTTGCTGAGTAGAAATAGCTAGAATACCTTAGACCGCAAAGGGTTAATTGTCAGAGAATAAGATCTTAGTATTGCATGTGAACTAGAAACCAGCCTGTAATCATAACATGCAAGAATTTTATGGTCCATGTGCGCTGTATTTTCCTTACGTAAGACGTTTCATACAGGATTCTCGGAACTGGACATTTCAATATCGTCCATAACGCAACAAAAACGCATCAAGTACGAGCTCGATTCAACTCTATTACAAGTTTCGCAAGAAGCGAACCGTCGATATTAAAGTAGAAGGATTAAGTAACAAAAAAAAACATCTCGAATTGAGTTTTTCCGTTTCACGAATAGATCCATCCCCTCCGATCGATTTCCTTTTGCGTTAACGGTGATCCCATCCTACCATTTCCCTCGTTACCATGACCATTACGATTTTTCTTGGTTCACGGGTGATCGAGCACAGCCGCAACACGCGTTTTCTACTTATTTCCATGTCAATGATGGCCCCTGCACGGGGACTGACAGCGGGCTGTTCCGTACCACAATATTATAAATCGAATTTCCAACCGATAATACGGCGCGATAAACCGCGAGCACGAAGAAAATCATCGAAGTGTGCGGGCCCCATGCTGAGCCCGATTCTCCGCTGGACTATTAATTAAACACAGCGACTACTGCTTGTCTACAGAGTTAATTACAAACCCATTACCGTACGTATGCGGAACGAATGTTGAATTTTCACTGGTTCACGCGGAACGTGCCGGAAATCAAGGTTTCTGATGTATTCTCGATCCTTTGGAACATACTGTGCCTCGAATAGATATTTTCCAATGGAAGATTTTCTGACTAGACGTATATTGAATGGTTTTCATCTTTCTGCATTCCTTTCATTTATTGTATCAAGACCAAGGCATCAGAAATCGTTTTGTTGTAAATTAATCCATTAGACTACGGATATTCGTGGAAATTTCTGTTTCCATAGATCGTTTCACAAAAAATTGTATTGTAGAAGAATCTATGTGAGAAATAAAAAAAAGACATTGTTGGTCTTTACTGAAGTTATAGCTGCATTGAGTTTGATATATCTGTGTGCATTATAAATGCATAAAATCTGCTATAATCTGTGAATGAAAGAAGTACCCTCCAGCTCATAAGTATTAGGACACTTACCAAATACAGAGTAAACGTGAACACAAATTAAATTATCAAAGGCCTTAGAAAAATATTGTTCATTAATATTTAAAATATTATGAGGCCGCAAATTTGGTACAAAGTACAAGTATACAATTTTTAAAACACATAACATTTTCTTCATAACATTTTCTTCAAAAGAATTCTTCAAATTTCTAAATTACGTTATACAAATTTGTATTACCTTACTATAAGCTTTCAGGTAATGTTCAATACATTTCTGTCGAATAATCTAAATCTCAAAATACCTCTTCTATCAAAAGTATAATCACAGACCCCGAGTTTATAATAAAACAGTATCATAAAGTTGACTAAAAAAAGACAAACATCGTATGATATCTCTACGATCTGATTATATCTTAAAAACTCCAAAGATACTCGATTCTAACGCATGTGGAGCCTGGGGTGAACGTACTTGGACGCGATTCAAAGGGCACCCGACGAAATGCTTTCGAGACAACTGTCGATCGATCGATATCACCGTGTAATGCTCAGTTCGAAACGTAAATCCCCGGCAGACCATCAATTATCCCGGCGGAATTATTAATAATGGTCGCTGTTCTGGCAGCGGGGACTCGACTCGATACATCGTATCGTGCCTTCCAATCGGAGACCGCGCATCGGGGGTAACTCATCCTAAAAGAAGAAGAGAGGGGAGGAGGGAGGGACGGGAGCCTACGAATGTCAAGTTTGATCGTGGATACGAAATGGAAATAAGAAGAAGATGCCAGATACTTATTAAGGTGCAACGCACCCTACAGGTGTTCGCGTGGAATGCTTTGAGAACGAGATCACGATCTCTGGAGTGTTTGGAAAGAGATGCTGCTGCTTCCTGGCGAGGGTCATTGAAAAACACGAAGGAAGAATAACGTTTTCGGTCTCTGTAAATTATTTATGAAATTTTATCGGAGCATTGTTTAACCTTCATCGGGATAGAATGGAGAAGAGACTTAGGGGCTCTCAGTACAGAATAGCTGAAATCTATTCTACAATGTTATACTTCTTTTAATTCAGCTTATTTATTTAGTATGTAAAATAGCAACATTAAATTTTCAATTATATTATATTGTTCAGTATGTATTAATATAAGAACCTCAGAGGCACTTCTAGCTGGACGAAGGTTAACAGGGTTCGCGTGGGATCAGTAGTATTAAATATAATTTCATATGAGTGATTCTATTATTTGATCGGAGTAGAGTTCTTGAATTATAGGATGTGATCGAATATGGCTTATCTTGAACAGGAAATTCTTAATCGAAGAAAGATCTATTTGAATCGATAGACTCCTACCAACGTGTCACAAGGTTTATGATACCATTTTTAACGATTCTTGGGTGAATGAAATGAAGCATGCTGAAACGATATTTATTATGCAACACTTCATATATGAATAATGTACTATTTCTTCAATGAGAAACAATGGAAGATAAATTTCGAAACTATCTTTCTATCCTCGTACCTATAATTTGTAACAACCTGTATAATATTGTACGGAAAAAAGGAATAAGCACGGAATGTTATAATGAATAGTGAATTACTCATTTTTTGGCATACATAACATACGCAAATATGCAAAGTAAAAAAAAAAATAATTATATTGAAGTTTACGAAAGATTTTATCATTTTTATTGTTTTGAATAATTATTGCATAAAGCTGTGTATTCGTATAAACAAATAATCAGTTAAAAGAAAATAATAGAAGCCTGATAATAATTCCAATATTCATCAAAACAATTTCGCCTAATATTTGATTTAATAAACTGAAATAATTATTGTATAACTAGCTCGTATTAACTGAAATTTCAATTGAATTTACAGATTTCCGTAACTGTAATCGAAGATATATCATATAGTCTAATATATTCAGACACGATTACCATAAGGCATCGATCAAGAATTTCTTGTGCATGATGGATCAATCACGATCGGCGACAACTACGGTAACGGTATCGTTCGAACAACACGAAAGCGCGCAGAATGAATGAATCGCGTCCAGGACCGAATTAATCGATCGCGATCGATCGGTTTCCGTCCGGTAATTTACCACGTGTGGGATTTCAATTTGCCTGAACCATGGGGGCTTCCTTGCACGATCGTGAACATTAATCTAATAATTATCGACTGTTCTCGATCTTTTGGACTGAATCTATGTCTGAACGCCTTTCGAAACTCGTTTCGGAGTAGTGCAATCGAGATAAAAAGAATTCGTATCATTCTTTTGTCTGATCTGGCAGTTTAAATGGATTTAAGAAATTCAAATTTATCTATTAATCGAGTATGAATAAAATGTAACTGTATTACAGTTTACTAAAGTTTGTACGCTATTTAATTACAAACAAAATGAAACTGTATTAAATTCTATTAAAGAATTTACGTTATTGTATTTTGAATATTTCTTAAATCAAATCCTTTAAATTTTATAACAAATATAATATAGTAATCAGATAGGTAATATTACGTCAATGAAGTGCTTTAGTGTAAGAAATAATAAGGACCGCGATAAAATCTATGATATACTTCTGTGGCTCGCCCATGCGCGAAATCATCGTGCAACATTTCCTCTGTTCGACCGAATCATTAATAACTATGTATACCTACTCGACGTGGTATCGTGAGGCATTGGCACGCATTGCTTTCGTTTCGTTGCGGGATTACATTCGAAACATTATACATTCAGCCGATGTAATTTAAATGACTTAATTTATTCCTGTCAAATAGATGTCGATAAACGAATGGTCAGTATAAACATTATAGTTTTACACTTTTCACCAATGTGTTCCATTATTTTCATAATAAACACCCTCACGATTTCAGCACTTACAAGTTTCCGATATTACTAAAAAGATCCTATTGATATTTCGGAAAGTTTTATTCAAGCTGAAAAATGCTGATTTTTTAAATGTAAAAAAAATTCTCTAAAAGCTGAAGTATCTACAAAACAGACTCAATCATTTCCGCGTTAAATTTAAGATACAATAAAACATTCCACCTTCAATTCCCCAAAGATCAAATCGAATTAATTTACACTAAAATTTCGCACAGAGATATTTTAAAATCAGTTTTAAGTCCAATTACTTTATCAACAACACTCTCATTTAGGACAGAAAAGTCACGAACACAAATAAATCAAATAATATAGCCTCAAGAACATTTTAAAATGTTGGATGCTCGAGTGTCCCAACCTCCGACATTAGGGGGTTAAATCCAAATCAACAATAAATTTCTAACAATCTCATTCTTGTTCCATCGAAACCCATTTAAAAAAAAGTTTAACTCTACTACAGAAATAATATTACTCACCCTGCTCGCACTCGTCGATGTCCTCAGAGCAGTCCACCCCTTTGTAACCAGTCGCGCAAGAGCAAGTAAACGATCCGTTGATGGGGCTGGTGTCGCAGATCGCGCCCTCGTGACACGGGTTCGAAGTGCACGCGTCGTCTAGATGGCAGAGCAATCCTGGAAACAAATAGAAACAGTAAACCATCGATTTATCTTCCGATTGTGCTTATATTCGATGTGAAAAATCCTACGCAACGACGACGGTCGGCCATTTTGAAGGGGGCTGCTAGTTGCGTGTGTTTCTAGGACAAAAGTGTCGATCGTCGAACGACCAAACACGGCGGCAACCGCCAAAGATGGACATCATTAAGGCCCTGTATCGCTTCGGTTTCGCGTAACCTAGGCCAGGAACGTTGCGCTCGAGAGGATCGCAGACGAGCTGGGAGACACTGACAAAGAGGGAATAAGGGAACGGTGACAAATTCCAGCGACTCGCGGTTCGTCGATCTCAACATTCGAATTCAGTGAATTACCGGCGAACTTTTACGTAGTTCAAATCGGTCTAATTGCTCCCCACAACGAAACGTTCAAGAATATTCGAGGAATTTCTCGTGGAATTTTTCGTGGAATTTTCCTGCGCGGACAGACGTCCCTGTCCCGAAGCAAATTTTTACCCTGTAGCGAAGTAATTGTGGTGTCGAGTAATTTTATAAAATTATGGGTCTGCACAATATGTGTGAACAAGTTTAGTAAATCGTCGGTTCGGTAGAAGAGTCACAACTGAGGAAAGTAAATTTTATAGAAAATCAATTTGATGTTTTTTGTAGGAGAGAAATTATTAATTACTCGACCTTTTAGCTATGCAAATTTTTTCGCTTATGGTTTAGTTAACTTTTTCAGGGATACTGGCACATATGTGTACGTTTAGGTTTTCTTCCATTCAAGTATGATTCTAAAGATACAATTAATATTATTTATTGTCCTTATACCAATCAATTTATTGTCATTAATAGCTAAGAAAGAATCTTAATTATTTGTCCTTGAAGAGGTTAATAGTCTTTGGGTTTTGAAAGTCTAATAAAATATTGTTTATATGTATCGCTTAATATTTAAAAAAAGATCAAGGCAGCTTTATTTTGAATGACACATCAAAATTATGTTTCACATTTGTCACTCTTCCAGCGAACCGACGATATAATGTCAAAGTATACGTTTCGTCTATGAACTCGACGGTAAATCAATATTAATTCAGGAACTAAGGATTTAGATTTCTTTTGCAGAATATAGATAATTATGTTTCCAATAGCAATGCAGCAATTACGTTCTAAGTATTTTAACTTAAAAAGTGTACGTAGTTCCCAATTAGGAATAAATCACCATCATAAAAATTCATGCTTCCCTAGTCACTAACATTTAAACTGTAACTTACGGTGCTCGATAACGGAACGATGTCTAGGATGTCCGTGTAGAAACCAGAGTAAACAACTACGCAGATGCACGATTACACCCGCGACTAACTGTAACCGCGTTTATACGCACAAGAAACAGCTTTAACTCTGGCCTCGAGACACCATCATTATGACCACGTACATAGGTATTGTAAATCCGTTAACCTCTGCGCGCGTTGTTAAAACTGCTCCGAAGTAATGAGATCGTACGTTGACCTGACCTTATCGACATCATGTAAACACTTCTCGAGAACTTTTCATTAGGTTGTTCCACGTGAAACAGCTCATTGTGCCATAAAATATCGAACTACAGTGAACACCAAGTTTTACACAAATACTGACAATTATTTTCAGATGCAATAGGTACAGTACAACCGCCGAGAAAATTTAGGATCACTACTTGCTTTTAATTCTAATAGAACTTCTTAATATTCGTCGAAAAGGAACTTAAAATAATTATAAATTATGTCACAACAACGTTATTATCAAATTTAATTCCTAACGTAAAACGCGGCCCTCAAGTTATCATATTGTTAGTAATTTTTTTTACTGAAAGCAGAACACAAGGTGTACCTATTTCTAATCTACATTTTCTACATAACAACCCAATAAATTTTAATGTTTTATAGTATTCCATTGGTCTTTTATTCTCCTATACCTTTATCCTACACACCACAATCCTCTGACATTGCAAATCATACTATTGACAACAAAGTATTGCCTCACTTGTTCACTAGTGAAAAATTGTCAAAATTCAATGTTCCATAACTTTATCAATATTCATCGAAATTTGTTTAAATGAAAAGCATATTAAAGCTTGAATGTCTCACTTTTTGACGTTTTTGTTCGATTTTATTTAACTTGGTGCCCAAGGAGTAAAATCTTCCCTCATAAAGAGGGTCCTCAAATTGTAAAAATTCTACAAATTACTATCGTTATTTATTGTTTCTTTTTGTTCATTCTTTATTTTTTATTATGTAATTGTAATATTATATTACTTCTATTCTTCTTAAATAAATACCATAAACTATTCTACTTCATTGTTTTACATTTCATTGCTCGGAAAACAATTTAATCGATGCCATGCACGAAAGGCACGAATCCATAAAGACGCAAGCGTTCCTGTGAATAGCTATAGCTTCGTTAAAAAACATCCGTTTTAGAGTCAGTGTGACTTATTTTGAAGGCATAGGATCATAATTTCTGAGGATACACGCCAAAAGAAAAAGGTCAAAAACTACAAGGTTCAAGCTTCAATTAACATTTCACTTAAACAAATTTCCATGAATTACACAATTACGGAACATTAAATTCCGACAATTTTACACAAGTGCACAAGCGAAGCAATACTTTTTGCAAGTAAATAAACATATTACCAACATTCGTCCGAAACACTAAAAATTCCGACGACAACGCCAGACACAGCGTACACACGCGTTGAAGTCTCCCAACGAATCTCTCCCGCAATACCATTGCAAGCTGCTGCAGCGTCGCGAATTCCTTCATTCAACATTTCCCGAGCTTTGGTGCTCCGGAAAAAGTCGTTCCCGGACGGGTCCGAAGGGGGGGCATCGCAGGAATCGCAATAACGCCGAGGGGACAGAGAGAAGGATGCCTGTATTTGGCGATCGCTGTCGGAACGATCGATCTGAAAACCGTCCTCCCCGGCCTCGGGTAGGAAAGTAAGGACAGAAACTCGTTTTCAGTCCTCAAGGTCGCTCAGCTCGGTAAGGCTAGGCTGCAAGAGCCAGAGGCTCTCCGGAATCCATGGATTCCGAGGGAGTCCCGCGGGGAGGCGGGCTGCGTCATATTGTTGCACGTGCAGATGCACTTGCCCGCTGCGCTGGATGCACTAGCGATGCATAATGTCGACACGATTCGAACCGCCAGCCTTGTTATCGACCCCCGTTGCCCGGGTATCGCGCTAATCGTCGGGAATCACAGTGGTCCAAAATCAAAATTCAGCAGGTCATACACGCTTATTTAGATCAAGCGATCAAAAATTTCGAAACTTACAAATGAAATAAAAATGGGCTAATGAAGATATTTTTATTAAATTTTGGGAACCCTTTCCGTTGAGGTCTTGATTCGGTGACAGTGTTCTGAATATCTTCATGAAAGTCTGAATTTTTAGAGAATTTCTTTTTCTATTTTCGACTGAGGTTGATGATACGAAAAGGGATGAGGTGAATAATAATGCATAGAACAAATATCTTCCATGGTTAATGGTAAGTTAACACTATTCTGTCTGATAACACCAACGTGGCGCTCTATCGAAACAGATAATGTTTTTTTTTTTTAAGATAACAGAAATTTGTTTTTGATCATCTGAGTGGTTAAATTTTGATTCTGGACCACTGTGCGATTCGCTGAAACGTGGTTTCTTCGTCTTGGAGTTCGAATTTTGTACAGACTCCGTCGTTATCCTCGGTGCAAAAGACTACGATTGAAGTATGCAGGGTGAACACACGTAGCTTGTCCACATTCGTTATTATTGATAATTCATTTTGACTCTAGATTTAACCTTTTAACTTATAACATCGATCCAGAATTTAATAAACTACTTATTATTCGTTTCCTTTGGATCGATGTGAAATACTGTTCCGCTGATATTAGTCACACTTACCATACGAATAGAAATCCTTTTGTATCTGGGAAATAATTACTGATACAGTAATTCTCGAGAGAGTAGTTGTCAAAAAAACATAGAATTGATTCATTTTGTCTTTAATTAGCTCTTTTATCAGCACTCAATGTTATTCATTAATGCTTATTGAAATGTTCAAATAATTTAATGTATGAAAAATAATTTACTCTAAATTAAAGCATTAAATCCAACAAATTTTTAATCAATAACGAATTAATCACAATAAACTGTTCTCCCAAGTGCATAAAATTAAATTGGAGCTCTGTTATTTTTATTCCATTTCAAAACTATTAACATCCACCAATCAGTTGCATATTTATCAAAATAACGTTACCGATTCTGCACTGGTGAAATCTCACGAGCATGCAATGAACAAAAAAAATGTTTGTGACTGTTTTCACTGCTTCAAGGTGAACAACGTTCAAAAAGAATTATACTTAATTATTAACCTTCGAAATTACTTAAGCGCTTACCAGTCTTTCCGTAGGTGCACTGACAGTAAAAGCTGCCAACACGATCGATGCAGGTCGCGCCGTTGAAGCAGGCTGCACCGGCGCAATCATCGATGTTCACGCTACAGTCCGGCCCGGTCCAACCGTTCACGCAGATGCAAGAGTAACTTCCGGGTGAATTCGTACATGTTGCACCATTGTGACACAACGACGGCCGAACTGAGCACTCGTCGACGTCCAGCTCGCACTGCGTGCCCGTATACGACGGTGGACAGAGACAAGAATACTCGTTCACCCTGTCCACGCAGGTCGCGCCGTTTTGGCAAAGATTTCCGGGACAGTCGTCGATATTCTCTTCGCAATGTTCGCCACGAAAACCTGAAACAATAATAACATATCGATGTGTTTAAAATAAGATATAATATTAAGAAATTGATGATGATCGGCGTTCGATTTGAATATGGCGCCAAAATTAAGTAGAACACTTGTGTGAAGAAATTTGATTGTAAGTTTCTTAATATGTATTAAATAGTATTATCGTAATGATATGAAGTAAGAAATACAAGGTTCAGTATTTAAATTACATTACTTTTTAATAATGTATACTTTAACGCATATCACGAGGCACTGTATTGAAATGGCTTTCAATTTTCTTCGAAAATAACGCATTACTTCTAGATCTGCTAATGTTGAATACTAAATTATAGAATATACACCGCGTGACATAACTATAGAGCCACCCTAAAATTTCCAATCTTTTTGTTTTGTCGTTAAAATAAAAAGAAACCAAACTTTTTCTTCGGGATTGGAATCTATCCTTTTGTGGAGAATCTTTCTCAACACGATTTCAGACACGGAATAGTTGATTTGTTTTTATTTTTACCACAATACATAAGAATTGAAAATTTTAGGATGGTTTTATGGTTATGCCATGCAGTGTATACCATACTATACCATAATATAATATAAAATGTATGATAAATAAAAAAAGATCATAAACTCCGACAAAAGAATAATTATAAAACAAGAAGTCTGGAAACCGCCATTTCGACAGGTTTAGTAGTTCTAGTCTTAAAGGTGAGATTAACCGTTTCTGCCTTCAATTATTTATCATGCCACAGAATTAATCAACCAATTACTGAAGTTGATAGTATGAGTTATGAACGCCAAGTAAGACAATGATTCCAAATGGGATCACACGAGAACAGAAAGACTTAATACGTATTCTAGAAATAGTAATGACATAAAATATGAACTATACCAAGCTGCGTATCATGTCTCGTCCCGTTCGTTAATTAAAATTACCAATATTACTTAATATGTAAAAATTGCCTCAGTTCCGGTCGTTTTTGCAACGAACTTTATAGCCGAAAGGTAAATCAATTTATGGTCCAGGATTCGTACTGGAGCGGCGTATCACTTTACGATCGGACTGCGCGCAGCATGATTTAGATGTGATCTTCTATCGAGAAGGGAGGGAGGGCAGGGGGTGAGAGGGAAGAATTGAAAGACAAACAGAGAATCACGGAGGTAGGAACACGAAGGTAGAAGAGCTCGCAATCCCCTACCATACCGATTATATTGATGATCGTTACGGTCGTAAAGAGAACTCATTACTCCGCCGCAATCTCGTGTACGCCTTGTATGCTCTTCGCGGACTAAAAAGATACGGGGATTGTTGTATTAAAGCGAATCCATCGATAGACCGAGGGTTTATTGTTCGACGAATTTATGGTAGGGTGGAAGAAAAGCCAGGGAGACTTCGTATAGCTTGGAAAGATGAACAACGAACGAAGACAAAGGGTTAGAGATCGATAACCGTGAAATCGATAGGCTCGACGTACGCGATCGATCGTCACCGACCATGTTACGCGGAAGAAACGGGTAAGCAAATGAATGGGTTCGAACGCTTCCTCGACGACCAACCCGTGGGCCCCAGGAACAAAATTCCAACTGTTCTAGGCAGAAGAAATATTCCAGAAAAATTCTTGGTACGGTAATGCAAGAACGATTTACCACCTTTTAATTAAAGCGAAAATTGCCGCGGTACCTTGAAGCTTTGCAAAAACCGCCTGTGTAGAAAAGAAGCCAGCCAGAAGACCGACGAGATCGACGTAGCATGACGATGGATTATTTGCAAGTCGAGCGGACAGTATCGACTTTGCTGTGCTCGGAAGTTCAGTGTAGTACTTGGAGGACTGAACTTAAATGAAAAGGTAAGAATCCATGGCAGGCAGAGTTAGAGATAATTTTGATGTGACGATTATGGTGAAAAAATGCAAGATATTAGTAATAGTTAATACACAAGATAAAAGTTTTACTTCGTAAGATATGCTTTACAAGATCGAATACTTCGAAGACACGAACTATGTCATCATCGCACAGTACTTTAGAACTATAGACATTAGTCCAACAGATCTGAGAAACAATAAATCTGCTACCCACTGTTAATCATCTCCTTTTGCTACTTCTCATAAACTCATTTAACCAATTAACCCTCCTGCTCACCTATTCTTCACGTTTGCGTCCCTTCGAATAAAATTATTGCAAATTTTGAAACGATTTGTTCTTACAATATGGAAAATACAGAAAAATTAGACGTGAAATATAAATACGTTGGATACTAAAAACAAATATTTAAAAATAAAATACCTATCGAAATATGATCTGCATTTCGGGTCATATGGACTCTAGGAGAATAGCAGGGTTAAATTGGGTGTCATTTCACGCGAAGTCGGACACTTTTTGGAGTAACATTTCGAATTTCGTTAAAACTTGGATATATTCTAGTCTTTAGTGATATATAAATTTATCTCGAAGGATTTTCTAGAATGATTAAAATTGTTGATTTTATAGCTGGTTGAAACATAGTATCAACCTCTTTTCAATAAACTATGCCTATTGAACTAAGAAACTGATCAAAATGAGCTGCGTGAATGCCTACAGAGGAGACACAAGAGTACCCAATAAAAATGATGTCAGTTCAAAAACAATATTCCTTAACCATTCATTTTGCAATTGTTTCTAAGAAATGCAATTTTCTAATAGCAGGACACATTATTAAAAATTTTGTACCAGTAAATTTATATACCAGTAAAGACTACAACATATCCAAGTTTCAACAAAATCCAAAATGACTTCACATGGAATGACGTGCCAACAGTTTCTAAACATCCTCTATAGGTGCTCCGAAATCAATTCTACAGCTCTACGCTGCATCCAGCCGATCGTTTGATGTTCGAGCAGAACCGAACACGGAAATCCGGGTGATGTTTCGCGGGCAATGGGAACAACAAGTCTTTCTCCGTCTGATGTGCATAAACACACCTGGCGAACCCTCCCCCACCCGCTTTCCTTCCGCCCTTATCTATCGGTATCAGTTGCCCCGTCCAACGATGCATACTCGGCCCGTGAACCATAGTTACCAACTCTAATGGCGCGCATAATTTATGCTCGATAGAGCGGCTAACTAAACTTCCTACGGATCCCTCGGACTCGTTCACGGGGAACACACGTCGTTGACGTGAGCTAGGGTATCGTCGAAGTGAAAAAAACTTCCTCGATCCTACACGTACATATGTATAACCCTGGCCACGACGTTATTATACCAGAGCGTACAAAAGGGGGGATGGTGGGATGGTAACATTAATATTAAAGCGATGCAAAAATAAATCGGCTGGTTTCGCGTGCTCCATCGGGATTCTGACCCCCGTTCGGAGAAATAATTTCACAGTCGAATTTTAACCGAAGCGTTCTGATATGAATATAAGACGAAACCTAAAGAGAGGGGTCGTGATCCATTATATAAAAATAGGAGTAACAAAAAAAAATAGAACAAGAAATTTCGATGAAATCGACCGAAGCATATGGAGCATTATGTTGAATTCGATCCTATCATTGCTGGTTTGGGATTCTTAAAAAATCTTAAGTGATTTGTAGGGAAGGGTCTAGTGTAATTTGTAGGCTCGTTTCGTCGATTCGATGTTTTATTTAAGTATCGACAATCTGCCTGTCATTTTTGCGGTTGGTAAATGTATACAGTTGGAATTATCCGAGAAAGCAACAGAGAGATCTTCAGAAAGTTTCCTTTGGAACTACAGCTGCACGGTTTTAACCCATAAGCTACCATGCTTCTCATTTTAACGACACCACTTCTTGTGTTTTCATATTTCTTCCGTTTAGAATTGTATAAAAATTACAAGAAAAGAGATGATATAAAATCTTTCTAGGTGAGGAAGATCTGAAGATGACATTCAGCTTTCAGAACAGTAGTTTTCTTAAAAGGATTGTAATACTCGGTTTTAACCCATAAGCTACCATGCTTCTCATTTTAACGACACCACTTCTTGTGTTTTCATATATCTTCCGTTTAGAATTGTATAAAAATTGCAAGAAAAAGCATGACATAAAAGAGTGACATTCAGTTTTCAGAACAGTAATTTTCTTAAAAGGATTGTAATATACAGTCTTCTGAATGTGATTATCAAAGATTATTAAATTGCAGGGAAAAATAAAATAACAGTAACAATAGTAATCTAACTAATGCTAGCTATCACTAATTTGTGATATGAGAAATACAATAGTTACCATCATGTCTTCATGATACCTCTTTACTTCTCTCCTAAAACCGTATAACTATAGTCCTCAATATTTTTAGACATTTTTTTTTATAATTTCATGTACCCACCCAGTACATTAACATTCCGAAAATTCTTTCAAACCATTCTGTGCATCACACGACAATGTTCATCTCCTTCAATGTTAACTTTTACCTGCGTTACACGAGGTATAACCGTATTGGTCACGAGACACAGGTTATCGTCTGTGTCACACGAGTGCTTTCGAGACGGACGTCGCCACTGAAAACCCATTTCACGGATACGCAACAGATGGTTATACATACTTGCCGGGGCTTCCAGTACAAATTTCGGCAGAGATTCGAAACTGGAATTTCAACGAGGTTTCCCTTCTCGAGTTACCGGATTACAGGGGACCGCCTCGCCGGCTCGTCGGTTTGTACACGCTACCGTGTGACTTTTACGCCGTAAAGTCCGGATTATAATACTTTCCTGGTCGCGAATTTACACGTTCTCCGACCCTATACTTTTACGTGTGTCCGCGATTTCAGGAACGCCTTGCGAACACTTCTCGACTGCCTCCATTTTCTTCTTCTGGCATGAAATCGATCTTCCACGAGACTTCCGACATATCGGGTCAATTCATAATCTTTTATAGAAATGTATTTATTTTCTGGGCCTCATCCAATACTTCATTCAAATATTTATCGTTTCTCTTCCTCTTATTTGATTAGGTAACATAAGTCTGTTATCTTATCTTTTATTCTCAATCACGTTCTGTATGTACTTCTTTTTATTCCC